CTGTTCTTGGAAAGTAAGCTGCCTCAGCCCTGCTAGTTCTTATATTGGACAGCTCTTAGAGATTTGAGAATAATAGGCTACACTAGGGAGCTGCCAAGGAAATTGCATGGATATAGTCCTGAGGATGCAAGCTTGACTCAAGGCATCTTTTGTTTACATGTGATTCCTATTTTAACATATTACAGAAGTTTCATCCTTTGCACGCCCCTTTACATTAGAACAGTAGCATTAACATCAATTTATCTTTTATTTTATTGAAATAAAATGTATTTACTTTTATATTTTTAAAGTGTATATTCCAAGCCATTCACCCTTTGGCAGTTAACAATGAGAAATCAATGCACCATCAATAATAAAATTTCAAGATTTTCTTTCTAAAAATCTACCAATGACATCACAGCAACTAGTAAATTTCTAGTTAAGCGACACTATTTGCTTGTAAAAAAAAAATCCTGATTATTTTCTTACAATTTCTAAATGACCTAGGACTCACTTGATCTCAGGTCAATTTGAGCATCTTGTCCTCCTTCCTCCCTCCCTCCTTCCCCCTACCTTGACAATCAGAGCTATCTGTTTTCAGCCTGCTAATCTTCTGTCTACTTAACTGTAAAGTTTATCAGAGGCCCATTTTGTCACATTAGGATGCCTTTTTTGCTGTCATTACGGCTGCACAAATTGGTGCAGGAATATTGGGGGAACAGGTCGATCTTTCAGAGAACTCAGTGTTACAACTACATCTATAAATAAGAGACAATGCATGTATTTCACTGCAATTAAAACTGTTTTGGCAGTTACCTCCTTAGGAAAAGTGTTCCCTTATGTGGAACTATTTATAAAAGAACTATGATAGATCAAAGCAGAGCCTATCTACCTAGTATTTTGTTCTTACAGGGCTGGTGGAAACAATAGAGAACCATCATGACTAGTGGATTTTCGGAAAGGGATCTCCTCTTTTGTTAAGGACATTTTAAATGCTCTTTTTGACCTTTTCTTTCTAAGTTTTAATCCCTTGTCCTACTTTACTTTTTTCCTCAGTGCTTTTATTGAATGCTTTCAACTTTGTTTCAAGGTCAGCTCTGGAATATCCATCATTGACTATTATGCATGCCAAAAAGGAAGATATGGTTCCCTCAATAATTAATCTAACATGAAGCTTGCATACAATCACTGAAAATAAAGTCAAAGCTGAATTGTATTCACATACCACCACCTCCATTTTACACAAAATATTTCTTCTTCCTTAAACAACATCTTAACATTCATTTATCTTTATGATGCTTACTTTGGGAATACCCTTTGAAAATAGTGCTATTGTCCATCAAATTCCACTTGGCTCACATTTTCCTAACTCTTTGGGTCATTCCCCAATTGAAATAAATTCTAAAGTGCAATCCAGCACAAAATTTTCTGAGGCTGAATCCTGATAAATTTAATTTCAGTACTTTTTGTATAGGTTGATATAAGTTTGCAGTTTTATCTACAAAATGGCTTTTGGTCATTGAACTATTTCAGATACAAGAATATGACCATTGACCTAATAAGTGGATCCCCTAAACTTCCCATGTTCCATGATCAGGTACAGTAGAACCTCTGGTCATGAACGCTTCTGACCACGACCAAATCGAGTTCCAACCAAAAAATTCACATTTTTTTTCCACGGCTGATTTCCCCTTCTGCACCTTTTTTTTTTTTTTTTTTTTGTAAGCACCAAATTTCTAAAATTAGGTTTGGGTCGCGACCAAATCAGGTTTTGACCAAAGTTATGGAACGAATTATGGTCATGACCAGAGGTTTTACTGTATATGGAATCCCACCAGGATTCAAACTTTCTTTTTGTTTCAATGCAGGACAACATGAGACCTGGCAGTGGCAGAATAGGAATTGCAAGTGAATCATCTTCTTTCCCAGAAGATCACCATTAGGAAAAGCTTATTGCTATCTCTGCAATTCCTTTGGTTTTTGTTTTTTTTTGTTATCCCCATCTTACCATTGTTTCTACATACTGGAGAATACCACAAACTCCCTCCCAATCTCAGTCCAGCAAGCACAATTTCTTAATTTCCCAGTGCTTATTTAGAAAATAGGAAGCTATAAAGGAAAAACCAATTTTAAGCATGTTCTTCCTTTCTAATAATGTTTCTAGGCCCTGCGTAACCCATAAACATTTTAAACAATTTTTAAAAGGAAAATGGCTGCATAGAGAGTGTTTTATTTGGAAACATGTTTGCTTACCCAGACAGGTAAAAAACAACAATGAAGGAAGCAGGAATCTCCTGGAGGATCCACTGATGAAGTGAAAGGAGACATTCTTGAAAAATAGTACTTTTATGTTTGGTTATGTTCTTTTGCAATCATTCTCAATGTGCACATCAGACAAAAAAAAAAAAAAAAACCCAACCCTTGAGGACTTCTGTTGTAAAACATTATATTGAGTTTAAGTTGTATAAAATGAAAAGCATAAGATATACTGAATCATAGTTCCATCTGTAAAATTGAGATTTATTTATTTATCTGATTTATGGGGCCGTCCAGCTTTCCAAGAAACTCTAGGCAGTGCACAAATAAAATAGAGAATTTCATTAAAACAATTAAAACTGCACTGAATCTCAATAAAAACAGAACCACTATACATTTAAATCATACTAGAGCTTCCATGCTGATATCTAGACACCAATGTTTGGGGAAAGAGCCAGGTGTTCACAGAGTTGTGAAAAGCAATAGGGTACTAGGGCCTGTTCCTATTTTATGAGCCATAACGGCACAGTGGTTAGAATGCAGTAATGCAGGCATGCACTACTGCAATTCAATTCTCACCAGCTCAAGGTTGATTTAGCCTTCCATACTTCTTGAGGTCAGTAAAATGAGGACCCAGATTGTTGCTAACTCTGTAAACTGCTTAGAAAGGGCTGTAAAGCACTGTAAATTGGTATATAAGTCTAAGTGCTATTGCTTTCTCTGTATGGCATACTTCCAGGGCCTGTTAGATTATATTATTGATGGTACCAAGAATATGACCATTAAATCTTCAATATGATCTTGATTTCATCTCCAGGCTCACAATGTAGCTTTCGTTATATTTGAAAATCAATATCCTGAATTAATTTCTTTTACAAAGTCATAAAACATGTCTTTTGGGCCAAGATCTCTTTCTGGGCGGTGTATATTCAAACAATAATATTTTTTTAAAAAAAGTTGCAGTCCTATAACCATATAGCAGTGAATTGATCTCACTTCTTATCTTTTTTTTTATTAAAAAGTTTTAACAAGTATTACAACAATTTTCCCATCCCTCTTCCTCCCTCCCTCCTCCACCCACCCCCTATCCCCCCCTCTCCCTCCAACCCCCCTCCCCCCACCCACCCACCCCGGACTTCCCAGAGCAAAAACAGGGTATAGCATAACAAACATAAACTAAAATAATCTAACTTTCTGTAATCTCCAAACTCCCTCTTGCTCTTTAACTCCCCGTTCAACTAACAAAACATAATTCAAAAAGAAAATATTGGTTTCATTCATAAGCTATTTGAAACTTTTTAGTCCAATATTTATTTTGAATATAGTCAATCCATCTTCTCCATTCCGATATATATCTTTCATTTTTATGGTCCTTCAAATACGCTGAAATTTTGGCCATCTCTGCTAAATTCACTACTTTTAGTGTCCATTCTTCAATAGTAGGCAAGTCTTCCTTCTTCCAATACTGCGCCACCAAGAGTCTGGCTGCTGTTATTAAATTTAAAATCAACTTAGTGTCTATAACAGTACTGTTAGATCCGGCGCAGGGAAAAGAAGACTGGACCAGCTCGATACATTAAGCAACTTTTATTCATTACAAAGTAACGAGTCAAGACTGCTGGCGCGCTGCCGGAGCTCTCCTTATATTCGCTCCCGGCAGACGCACCGCCCCTTGACAGGGATTCAAATCTCCCACCCGATGGCTGGCAGCCAATCAGGGCGGATGTCCTTATAAGGACATAACACTCCTCCCCCCTTAGTCCGAAATGTCAATCTCATTCACAAACGTTACGTAGTCGCGCAGGTACGCCGGACGCCTCGGCACCCTAGCTGACCTGCGCAGTCTCACTTCTCCTCCGTCTCCGGCCTGGAAGGACGGGGGTCTTTCGTCTCCTGGTTCCCTCTCCGGAACCGGGCTCGGTTCGGCTGTCGAGTGAGCGGGGCCACCCCCAGCGCCTCCGGCCGGACCGCAGACCTTGGATCGCTGGTCCTGGTGGTCTTCCTCCTGTCCTGTGGATCTCTCGCCTCGCCTCGGCTGCTCGGTTCCGACCCGGGAAGAGCGTCTGAGTCTCGGTAAGTCCATTCCTCGCTCTTCCCTGGTCTCCCGGGCGCTGTAGTTCGGTCTCGGTCCGGCTTGCTGCCGCTCGGGTGGCGGTTCCGCTCGGTTCGGGTGGTGCTGGCTCTCGTTGTTGTTGTTGTGCCGTCCGACCTCGCAGGGGTGGCGTTGGTCCCCTCGGTTGGGCTGGCGTCGGTCTACCTTGTCTGGCTGGCGGTGGTCGACCTGGTCGGGGTGTTGTTGCGGTGCTACCCCCGCGGGGCGGCGGAGGTCTCCCCTGCCGGGGTGGTGCAGGTCTCCCTGGCCGGGTTGTTGTCGACTTCCCCTTCCCCCTAGTCCCTGGTCTACCGTTGGTTGGTGCCTGGGGCCATCCTGGTCGGGGTGTCGTTTCTTGGCTGTCTCTTGTGATGGGCGGGGGTCCCCCACGTCGGTGGGTAGTGTGCCACCCTCGCCCGTGGGTCGTGGGTTGCCCGTCTTGGCTGGGTCCCGGTCTACTCGCCTTGAACTGCAGTCTCCCTGGCTGGGCTGGCATGGGCTGCTGTCACTGGTGGGGTGCGTTGCTCCTCCTCTGGGCAGGTCCCGGTCTACCTGCGGGCTGGGTTGGTGGTCCCTGGCCTTGCTGTGCCCGGTGCCCACCTGGCTGGGTTGTTGTTGCCATCCTCCGTGCGGTTGGCCCCGGTCTACCTCGCTGGGCTGCTGGCGTGACAGCATCTGGTAGTGGGCTGGGCCGACCTTGACGGGGTGGTGCTGCTCTGCCTCGCAGGGGTGTGGTAGGCCTACCTCGTCGGGGTGTCGTAGGCCTACCTCGCCGGGTTGTTGTAGGCCTACCGGGTCTGGGTGTGGTAGGCCTACCTCGCTGGGGTGTTGGAGGTCTACCTCATCGGGGTGTTGTAGGCCTCCCTCGTCAGGCTGGTTTTCATGCGCTCCCCCCCCACCTTTTTCGGAGTTGGTCGATGTGACGTCTCGCGAACTGTCCATCTTCCAACTCGACGATGTATGATTTGGGGCCGGTTGTGCTGGCAATCTTCCCCTTCAGCCACTTAGGAGAGCCGCTGAAATTCAGCGCGAAAATTGAATCTCCGTTGCTGAAGGCGCGAAGCGGGCGGCTGGCGGTTGCGGTCACTTCCGGGCTGTATTGGGGGTGCAGCCGGTCCAAGGGTGACCTCAACCTTCTGCCTATCAACAGTTCGGCCGGGCTCTTGTGGGTGGTGGCGTGTGGCGTGATGTGCTGGGTGAGGAGGAAATTGTCTATGCGCTCTTGCCAGTCCCCCGGGCCCATCTTGGTGAGGGCCTCTTTGGTCAGTCGGACCATGCGTTCCGCTTGTCCGTTTCCGGCCGGCCTGTAAGGGGCGGACAGGGCGTGGCGGATGCCCAGTCCCGCCAGGAAGGATTCCATGGCCAAGGATGTGAGCTGGGGGCCGTTGTCTGAGACCAGCACATCCGGTAGACCATGAGTGGCGAAGAGACGGCGCAGGGCTCGGATCGTCGCGTCCGTTGTGGTAGATGCCATGGGCACCACCTCGAGCCATTTGGAGAAGGCATCTACCACGATGAGGAGGTGTCGCCCCTGCATCGGACCCGCGAAGTCAATGTGGACCCTCGACCAGGGGTTGCCGGGGGTCTCCCACTTCGCGACCTCGGATTGCGGCGGCGCTGGGCGAACTTCTTGGCACGGGTCACATCTGGAGACCCATTGTTCAATGTCTTTGTCCATGGAGGGCCACCAGACATAACTCCGTGCCAGTGCCTTCATGCGGACGATGCCCGGGTGCCCCTTGTGCAAGGTCTCCAACGTTCGCCGTTGCAGAGTGCTTGGAATCAGCACCCTGTCTCCCCATAGCAGACAGCCCTTCATGGTGGACAGCTCCTCCTGTTTCCTGGCGAACGGGCTGAATCTTTCCTCTGGCTTTCCCGACGGCCACCCTCTGAGGATCCAGGATTTCACTGTGCGGAGTGTGGGGTCCTTTTGGGTGTGGACGGCCACATCTGCGGATGACACCGGGCAGCTGGCGTCGTCATCAATGTGCAGTAGGTGGAGTGTGGGGGCTGGGTCTTCGACCGGCTTCTTCGACGGGCATCTGCTGAGGGCGTCGGCGTTTCCTATGGCTGTGCCTGGCTGGTGCACGAGCCTATAGGAGTAGCCCCCTAGGAAGATTGCCCATCTCGTCACTCTTGGGGACATGAAGGTCGGGGTTGGTTGGTCGCCTGCGAGGAGTCCCAGGAGAGGCTTGTGGTCTGTGACTATGGTGAAGCTTCTTCCGTAGAGGTATTCGTGGAAGCGCTTCACTCCAGCCACGATGGCCAGGGCTTCTTTGTCCAGCTGGCTATAGTTCCGTTCTGCGCCGGACATAGTCTTTGAGAAGTACGCGATTGGGGCTTCCGAGCCATTGGGCAGTTCGTGGCTGAGGACTGCCCCCACCCCGTAAGGCGACGCGTCGCAGGTCAGTCTGATGGGGAGCGTCTCGCTGTACTGAATGAGGACGCTTTTGGACGTCAATAGTCCTTTGATGGCCCGGAATGCCGCTTCCTCTTCCTGGCCCCACTTCCAGGACGCCGATTTTCCCAGCAGGCGGTGGAGTGGCTCAGCAACTGTGGCTTTCTGTTTTAAGAAAATGGCGTAAAAGTTGAGCAACCCAAGGAAAGCCTGAAGCTCCGTTTTGTTTTTTGGGCTTGGAGCTTCATGGATTGCTTCCACTTTTGATTTGGTGGGGTGGATGCCTGTGCTATCAATGAGGAAGCCCAGGAACTCGACTTCCTGTACCCCTATGATGCACTTGTCCCGCCTGACCCTCAAACCCTTGGCCTTGAACCGCTGCAGGACAAGCCTGAGCCTTTCAAGGAGTTGGGTTCTTGAGTCACCGGAGATGAGCACATCATCGAAGTAAGGCACCACCCCTGGAACGCCTTGGAGAAGGCGTTCCATCATGGATTGGAAGATGCCAGGGGCAGCGCTGACTCCAAATTGGAGGCGGTTGCATTTAAATGCCCCTCTGTGCGTGACAATTGTTTGAGCCTCCGCCGTTTTGTCATCCACTGGCAGTTGCTGGTAAGCCTGGGCCAGGTCCAGTTTCGCGAAAATTGATCCAGATCCCAGGGAATGCAGCAGATGTTGCACCACTGGGACTGGGTATGCGCTCTGTGCCAACGCCTTGTTGATGGTACAACGGTAGTCAGCACAGATGCGCACAGACCCATCATGCTTCAGTGGGGTCACAATGGGGGTCTCCCATGAGGCATGATCGATCGGTTCCAGGACGCCCTGGGCGATCAGCTTATCCAGCTGCTCATCTACTTTAGGCCGCAGGGCAAATGGAACTCGGCGGGGCTTGAGCCTGATTGGGGTGATTCCCTTGTCCAGATTAAAGGAGATTGGCCTCCCCACAAATTTCCCCAGCTTACCATCGAAGACTTCTTTGAACTCTTCAATGATGGAGTCGAGTTCGTCCCTGCGGATCTTGTGGATGCCCTGAAGTGAAAGTCCCAGCGGCTTGAACCACTCCACACCCAACAGGTTCGGTCGGCTGTGCTGCACAATGGTGATGGGTAGCTTTCCGTTGAAGTCGTTGTACTTCACCCGGATTGTGGCTCTGCCTAGGATTTCAATGGGGTTCCCGTTGAAGTCCACAAGTCTCGCCTTCGGGGTTTTCAGCTGGGTCCTTTTGTATGCCGGGTTCAGCTGCTGTAGGTGCTGCCAGTCCATGATGGAGTAGGCGGATCCGGAGTCTACCTCCATCTTGCACGGAGACCCCTCTGCTAGCAGCGTCACGTGGAACTTGGTGGTTCCCTCGTCGCTTGTGTGAGCAATGGTGGTGGTCTGGTGCACCGTTCTGTTGCGGGGATATTCCTCCTCCCCGCGCCGGGACTGGTTTGAGGACCGTTTGGATGTCCTCTGGTTATCTTTGCGATTTTCCCTGCATCGTGGTCTGGGTGGTTCCGGGGCTGGATCTGTGGCTCTGCAGACCTCTGCGATGTGGCCCCTCTTCAGGCATCGGCGGCAGGTCGCGTCTCTCCATCTGCAGTTTGCCCTGGGGTGGTCGCCTCTGCAGCTGCCGCATCGCTCTCCCCGGTCGCCATGCTGTGGGTTTTCCCGCCTGGGGGGGCGGGACACCTTGTGGACGGCCATTTCCTCATCAGACTCGGATTGAGTAGTTGCCTCGTCTGATGAGGTCGGGCCCGACTTGTGGATCTTATGGATCCCCCTTGCTTTTACCATCGCGGCAGCTGCTTGCTCAGACGTTTCAGCCGCCGTTGCCTCGTCGAGGACATCTTTGAGCGGAATCTTCTTCCGGCTGAGGAACTTCTTCTGCAGCCCCACATCTCGCATTCCAAACACAATGCGGTCCCGGATGGCATTGTCCACATTGTCGAACTCACAGTTGGCAGCGATTTGGCGAAGCGCTGCCACGAATTCCTTGATGGATTCACCTTCCCGCTGGTTTCTTTGCTGGAAGGTGAACCTGTTTGCGATGGGGGTGCCTGTAGGTGCATAGTGCTCCTGTAGGACTTCCTGCAGGTCGTTCCAGGACATCTCCTCGATGTCCCTGGGTGCCACGAGGTCAATCGCCATCTTCAGAACGTCCGATCCGCAATGAGCCAGGAAAAGGGCTCTTTTTCTCTCCTCATCGAGGTTCTGGTATCCATTGCCTCGCAGGAACTGCCGGAATCGGACCATGTATGACCTCCACTTCTCCCGGGATGGGTCGAATGGGTTCAGCGCGGTCATCGGGGCTTGCGGGGTAGCCATTCTGGAAGATCGCTGTGGTGTGGTGATTTTGTTCGGTGGGCGATCGTGCCAAGAGTCTTGTGAAGGTTCTTCTCTCTAGTCCTTCGTCGCCAGTGTTAGATCCGGCGCAGGGAAAAGAAGACTGGACCAGCTCGATACATTAAGCAACTTTTATTCATTACAAAGTAACGAGTCAAGACTGCTGGCGCGCTGCCGGAGCTCTCCTTATATTCGCTCCCGGCAGACGCACCGCCCCTTGACAGGGATTCAAATCTCCCGCCCGATGGCTGGCAGCCAATCAGGGCGGATGTCCTTATAAGGACATAACAAGTACAATCTCACTTCTTATCTTTGAGTAGTTACAATCAGTGGTGGGATTCAGTCAGTTCGCACCACTTCGAGAGAACCGGTTGTTAACTTTCTGAGCAGTTTGGTTGTATTGGTTAAATTATTTGAATCCCACCACTGGCTACAACCAATTATAAGTGTAATATTTGAAAAGCCCTAAGAGAGGATTTATGCCAAAAGTGTTTATCCAAGATGAGTTTTGTTATTTTTATTTTATACATTAAAAATCATCACACATATAAAAATTATCCAGGTAAATTACTGAGGGTGCAAACTCCTAGATTTTCATTGTTACCTATATTATCTTTAACAAGAAAGAAAACAGTCATTCATTGTGGTACCAAAAAGTGGATTCCGTGTGTATTAAAAACATAGAAATTCTCTGTGGCATGGAATGACAATGTATTTATGTGTTATAGCTTGGTTTCCCTTTGAAGTCTAGATCTCTTCTGCTGATACAATGAGGCCCTTCAATAGTCCTTAGTCTTTCTTTCTACTGTATATACTCTATGCAAGTCTCTTCGTTAAAAACAGAATATTTTCTTGTCTAAGAATTGTAAGTTACAATTGTAAAAGCAATTGTGTGCAGTGCATGATTAGTAAAACTGGGTACTATAAAGATTTATCAAGACTAGGCAGAACTTTTCCTTAAATGCCTGTAGCTTCAATTTAAAAGCAAATTATGAATAGGACCAGTAAATCTCTAGAAATATTCTGTTCTCTTCTCAAAGTCTGCTTAAGGTAATTCTCTCTCCAAGCTCATTTAATTTAGTCAAACAACCCAATGGCATTTGCATACTTTATGTCAGCTGTGCCCCTCACTTTCTTTTTATTATGCTGGATCAGGGATGGGATGTTGATATGCCAAATTCTATACTTCTGAGTAGGAACATGCAGTGGTGGGATTCAGCCAGTTTGCACCACTTCGGGAGAACCAGTTGTTCACTTTCTGAACAGTTTGGAAAACTGGTTGTTGGAAGAAATTAGGTCAGAGAACCGGTTGTTAAATTACTTGAATCCCACCACTGGAAATAGGCCTAAATTGTAGTGCTCTGAGGTGCTGTAAGGTTTTTTTAAAAATGTTATTTTTGTTTGTGTGTGTGTGTAAGAGAAGATGAAACATAGCCATTATCATGAAGAACGTTTCATACTCTTCTTTTGTTGGGAAATAGCCCAGAAATGATGGCCTACAAAATTAATCATAATTAAAAACATGACATTTTCAATATATTACTTTTTCATTGATCCATCTCTCTTATTCTTTGTGTAGTTACCATATTTCAGGCTGTTCACAACTTTATTTAAAATCACGACAAGGACAAGGTCAGTTCTAAAGCTTGCTTGAGTTTCACTTTATTTCATCGCTCAAGTGAACACCTTTTTTTAAATGATAAAAAGAGGCTGTCAGCTTTCTGAGCGCTATTGAAAGCCCTGGCTTGTTAGTACCAATTTCAAGCATCTGTAAGTAATTCTAAACAGGCAGCAAGTCAGCATTAAAACATTTTCTCCCATTTGGAATAAGGATCTTTCACATCATTATTTACCTGAAGGAAAACAGTAGTGTTGGGCATTAAGTCCAATATGTGTTATCATTTATTAAAATGTTCTCTGTAGCAGCAGGAACATGCCCTCTTCTATGCTCTCCACATGGGTTGTACTTTGGCTTCCATAGTTCCCTGCCATCATAACAATTGTGCTAATTGTTTGTAGTCTGTATATCTGGAGAGCATCACATTTCAGGCAGGACCAAAGGGTTTTTTCCTAAAGAAATGCTACCTTATCTTCCCGGATTCCCGTTCTGGAACTGTGTTTCCAAGCCTGTACCTTTTATCAATCTTATATCAGTCCCAGTTTCCTGGATCATGTTCCCTGTCCACTTTTGCTTATCTGGCAATGGTTTACTTACTTTTGATTTCCACTGCCTATTAGATCTTGTTCCAGATGCCTGACTGTGGCTTCCCATGATCACAGTATTTTGGCATTTATTCCTCTAGATTGTTCACAGTTGTAATATGTTATTTGATGCCTGATTCTTGCCAGGAGTTTCTCAGGACTAAACCC